ATCAACAGAGGGGAGGCTTAGAAACTCACCCACCCTCCCCGTTTTGAGAGAAATCTTCTGCATCTGTGAATGTTTTGTTGCCCTTGTCTAGCTTGGATTAATACTTAGTCTATAGGCACAGACCTGATCATCTACATTTGCCCTCCTACAGCACTAAATTATTTTTTCTACCTTTATCTTGCATCTACCTACCACTTCAGCATTTTATTAATAATAATAAGGGAGAAATGTGGGATTCACATATAAATCAAGTATAAAAATCAAACGAATAATCATATCTGACTTGATTGTTTATAGTTCATGATGCGTGATCAAAACCAAAGGTTTCTGTGATATGACTGCCCTTGCACTGTTCACCAGGTAAGAACTTATTCACTATGTAAGAACTTGTTCATCATGTAAGAACTTGTTCGTTATGCTTCAGAAGATTGGAGACTGTTGAGAAATAGGCTTGGGGTTGATTAATGACTGTGCATTGAGTCCCCTGTACCCAACTTTATTGTTGTTAACAACCATTTGATCAATAAATATGAGAGATGCCCTCTCAAAAAAAAAATCACCTAGAAAATTGAATAATATATAAATTACCAGACCTCTTCTCTCAGAGGCTGACTCAGTGATATGGGTTGCACTGGACACTTTTCTTAAAAATCAAAAGTTCAGATGATCCTCATCTCCCAAATGGGCCACACCACCTTGGAGATTGGGGAAGGTAAGCTGGATGGGGAAGGGTGGGGGAAGGCTGTCTGATGGAGATAGTCACCCAGGTGGGCCCCAGTCAGACTTCTCTGAGGAATAGGGTATTAGATAAAGAAAGGCAGCTCCAAGTTGTGCCAATTTGGACCAATTAGCAGTAACTGCCTCAAGTGCAGTCTGAAAAGGATTCTGCGGCAGAGGTCCTACTCATGGGGAAACAGGCCATAAGCAATCAGCAGTGTCTGCCCCACACAGGGAAGCACACAGAGCCATACACGTGCCACACGTTGGCTGTGTCTCTGGAGAGCCTGTGGTGCTGCAGCTCCTACAGTCCAGGCCCTTTAGCTGTGGGGGGAGGTGGGCAGATGACAGGTACAGGGAGAAATCCAAGCTCCCTGCGCCTGCCCTTACCCAGTATCTCTCCAAGCCCTGTGTTCATCTCTGCTTGGTGAACAGGTTCTTGAAGGTGTTGTCGTAGTTCTTGTTAAAGGCTGTGTAGATCAGAGGGTTGAAGAAAGAACTGGAGTAGCCCAGCCACAGGAATGTGCTTTTCCAAATGGGGGGCAGGCCACAGGCACAGAGAGGGCTGATGAGCTCTGTCAGCAAGAAAGGGATCCAGCAGAGCATGAACACGCCAATGAGGATGCCCACCATCACAGCTACCTGCTTCTCCTGCTGCTGCCACCACGATTCCCCACTCACCTGGAAGGCCCCTGCTGGCTGCCATGCCATGAACACCATTGCAGCCTCGTGAGGTGCCTCCTTCACCGTGGAACAAAGGAAGCGTAGAATTAAACCATAAATCATAACACTGGGTGATAAGGTAACAGGAGGCTACCCCAGTCTTAGCCACACCTCCCCTGCAGCCCCATCTTGAGATGCATTCATACCATAATCCACTGAAAAATATTAGATGACAAGGATTCTGAAACTGTCGGTTTCTTCAGGGAGTGAGAGTGGCAGTCCCCACAATGCCAAATAATACAATATAAAAAGGAATGGAGTCACTTAAGAACAGGGGCCCTGGTGTCAGGCCCAGGCTGAGTCCCAGCTCCGCTGATGGAACCCTTTCCCCATCTGTGCAGCCAGGAAGCTGGGTGACTGAGGTCCGCTCCCACCATATTAGGGCATTGTGGAAGTGAACTGGGTGCCAGCACAGGCGCTGACCCATTCACTACTCATGGAGGGAGCCACAGCCCAGGGCTGGGGGCCCCAGACAGGGACCCAGGGCAGACCCAGGCCTGCCCCTCACAGAGTGTGCAGCTGGAGAGGCAGCCTGTAAACATCAATACTGCAAGAAATTATACAACTGCTATATAACTGTGATTATTTTTAGGGATCTGGTTTAAATTGGAGGATAATTCTGTATTGCCTAGCTTAAAAATGAACTGTAATGCCTTCCTGGCACTAATTAGCTGCCATTCAAGGAGCCTCCTGCACAGTCTCCTCCCTCTCACCCCCACCCTTTGGCCGACTCCTCCTCACCTCTCAACTCTCAGCTGAATGCCACCATCCCTCTCAGAGTGGCCTTCCTGACCTTTAAACTCAGTCACATCTCCCTGTTGATACCATGTTCCCCTGTTTTGCAGTGATTTGTGTGTGGGTGAGTCTGACTCCCCTCCTGTCCAGATTCTATGAGGGCAGGGACTGTCTTCCTTGTACACCACCTGCCTGGCAGCACTGCCTGGTGCCTGGCAGGAAAGAGCTGCTGATGAATGGTTGGGCATTACGATAGAGAGGCCCACTGCATGGCTCTTCCTTCCTGGAACTCTGCCAGGCACAGCCATATACACCACCTGCTGCGCACATGGGGCAAGAGGCTCTCAGGCAAGGACTGTGTCTGGTTTTTCTCCTGGACACAGCTGGAAGCCCCTATCAGGAAAGCCACACAACCGAGGGGCACTTTACAGGGTCCACAGCACGTTCCCTTGTCCCCTCTCACTTGGGCCAGGACAGCCAAAGCCAGGCAGGCAGTGGGGTTCCCTGGGGTCAGACTCCTCACTCAGTGCCACTTTCAGATTCTGTGTCTTCTGCGGCTTCCCCTCATTGCCTCTGGCCCTATTTAATTTGGAAATTCTCTGAATCAACCTGTAAACAGATCGTGGAGATGTGGACAGCCTTTCATTTGGGAGTGCACAGCCAGCACCCTGTTCCTGTCACCCAGAGAGAGAGAATGCAAAGACAAGAGGTCCCAGCGAGAGAACAAACTGCGCTTGCTCCTCCCGCCCCTGGGCCCTTCACAAAGGCCTGGCTTGGCAAGTGAGCCCCTCTGGGGACCAGCCAGAGCCCCTCTCCTGAGCCACTCCAAGGCTCCCAGGCCTCTCACAAGCCAGAGCAGGCTGCCTGCCACCTTTCTTCTTTACGAGGAAAAATTCAACCAACTCCCTCCTAGCGGACCATCACTGAGTGACCAGTGGAGGTCTGCGCGTAAGCCATGGCATCCTGAAATCCCCCGTGAACACTATCATGTTGCCAGGAGGGAAAAATATCAGATCAGGAGAGGAAGGGGAAGGTGTTTTACTCCCACTAAGCTTGTTAAAGGTCATTTTTCAGCCCTTTGTCTGCTGACCGAAATGACCCCCGTGGCACTTAAGTTCCTCCTCTGGGTAAAGTGATTCCAAACCCTTGTTTTGCTACTGAACTAAAAAACACGGCAAATTCAGTTCAAAGGGATCATTGGAGGAGAGAAACCTTAGAAAAGAAGTCCACTCACTCAATAGGTTCAAGCCCCGCCTCCTCTACTGCTGCGCACTGCAGAGTCCTCCAGGCTGCCTACACGCCAGAACCTGAGCTCACAGCCGCTCACCTGAGCCTGCTGTGCCCCATGCAGTGACGAGGGAAGACAGTGGAATCTCTCCAGAAACAGCCTCAGAGAAAATGAATCAGTCAGGGAGGATCCTGTTTTGCTAGGAGACTGGCTAGTTTGAAACATAATAGCCAACAGAAAACCAAGACAGTAAGAAAAACTCCAGAGAAGCTACTCTAAGTGGGCTTTAATTCATCTTCACACTAAACCTTTGAGGTATTATCTTCATTTGACAGTTGAGAACACACGCTGAGAGGTTAAATACTTTGTCCAAGGTCACAGAGTTGCCTATTATTAGAGTTGGAAGTCAAACTTGAATATTTTGAACCAGACACCATGCTCTTCATAACTTCCAGGGCCCTAAACACTACCTGGGGCCGTCCCTGAGTGGTCCTCTCTCCTCTTTGGTCTTCTCTCTCTTCAGCCTCTCAGCCCTGACTTCTTTTGGCACACCCGTGTGGAAGCCAACCATTCAGGTTTAAGAGGCCTCTGGCCTGAGGTTAGAAGCCACTGATCTGAAGGCATGCATATAGACTACGGAATGCCTACAACCTGTAGAACCTGGCACTTTGTGGTCCTGATGTAAAAGGAAAGGTGCTCTGAATACACAGAAGTTTGGAGACACCAAATGCCACCGCCAAGGCCATGTAAGCAGGGAAGAGAAGGACCCAGGTGCCTGCCCAGTCTGTCTGGTTCCAGGCCTGATGGTTTTCTGCCGTGCTGAGAAGTGACCTAAAAGATGAGTTTACCTAAATGTCTCCATAGAATCTGGGGCTTTTCCATTTAAATTAATTAAAGACAAAATCTGCCAGGCAATATATGCTCAGTTATTAATCACCTCCTGTGGGCATAGGGACAATGTGCTGGAATTTCCCATAACCTCCCAATGTCAAATATTCTATCCCACTATTCCCATAAGTACTGTGTTATCAGGGCATGACGGCTGAGTCATTATTCAGAATAGTGGATCATGACTGACACTCCAGGAGTGCAGGAACATGAGTGTCCTGTCCACTGAAGGATCCCCAGCACCTCGGACACTGTCGGGCATAGGGTAAAGCTCAATCACTATTTATTGAATAAACAGATGTTTGGTGGAGACAATTCTCTTGCAATGTTCTCTTGCAAATTTCCTTGTATGTCCACACATTTTGCCAGCAAAGACACTGACAGCCCTTGTTTTTGGACTACCTTGACAAGGATGTTTGTACAGCAAACGTCTATGGAAGATAAGGATCATATTTCCCAGTGGAAAAGAGGGCAGATTTGCCTGCAACCCAGTATAAAAGATTTAGGTTTCCAAAGAGTAGAGGGAATGTTTATTTATTGTTCAGCACTTGACAATACAAACCTGAGTTCCCTAACCTTGCAATTTCTTTACCATGACACAGATCCATCTGGGTCACTCTGTGTCACTCCCATGGCACTTTGAAGGAAAGGGATTACAGTGAGACAGCAGTACATAGCGGGACCTCTTAAATACCTGCTTCATGTCCCTTCCCTCTTCACTAATAAAAAAAAATCCAGTGCAAACATGAAGCTCACGCTGCCCGTGTGCCATGAGCATACAGTTCTTTGACTCTGACCCAGGAGTCTCATGTCTTCTGCCTTCATTCTGTAAACTGCGGCAGCCTGACTTGCTAGCTTGCAAGCAGGGTAAACTCTCAGACCTTCACAGTTCTTTGCAGTTGTCTAGTACTGGGCTAGATAGTTCCACACATGATCTTACACAGTTATAATAGCAACCAGTAAGGAAGGGAAGAAGAAACTAAGGCTCAGAGCACGTTAGTGATTGGATATGACTCTAAGCTCCCATTTGTCTATCTCTAGCCATGGAGAACCTTATCTGTACAGTAGGCTTACTATGAGGATTACAGTGAGGCAGCAGTACATAGCGGGACCTCTTAAATACCTGCTTCATGTCCCTTCCCTCTTCACTAATAAAAAAAAATCCAGTTACCACAGAAACAGCCCTTTTTTAATCTTCTAATGTAAAGAAAGAAAAGGAAATATGAAAGAAGAAATGGTTCTTGATCATTTACCAGTTTGGCTGCACCCACACAGGTCAGGCATCCAGTACGGTGAGATGACTTTACAAGCCTGGTGTTGGGGCAACCACACGAATTTCAGGGACCAGTCAAGCCCTACTACATCTGCAAGAGGAGAGAGGACATTGGAAAATTCCCAGTATTGGTTGAAAGCAATCTGGATTATATCTGGAATTCCCCATTGCTAACTAGAGCTTCTCAAGTCACGACTTGAAAGACCTGGGGCTCCATTCTCTGTTCCCAAGGTTTGCCGAGATAACCAAGCTCCAAGCTGCATTTCTCAAAAGCGATTTAAAGAGATAAATAACCAAAATAGCCTCTCAGAGTAAACAGAAGCTGTCTAGCTTTATAGCTTGTCTGACAAACTAGAACAGGAAATTTTCTCAGCTGCTTTGTCTTGTGCAAAAGAAACCAAGAAAATAAATTAAGGAAGTTTCCTTGTAAAAATCAAAAGCACAGCACTGTTGGGCTTGACAGATATGAACTTAACTTTCATTGTAATTATATTCACAACAGCATATAGTATTGCTATTGCTAAACTCTTAGGTATGATCACAACATGAGGAACAATTGCTCTTATTCTTGAATTAGAAAACATGGATTCTTGCCAGGAGTTTAGTCACCCTGGAATAGCTGAGGGTCCACTGGGGTCAAGTGCTAAGAAGGAAAAAATGCAATCAGGTATGTTAAAGTTAGGCTAAAAAATTTTGTTGCTGTTGTTGAAGTTAATGCTTTATTAACAGTTGGAAAGAAACCCAGTGAACTGGAGGTGATGACATCCCAGAAGCCCAAGAGGTGAGGGAAATAGGTTTGCATTTTGTCCCTTTTTTTTTTATTAAGTGCATCTTAGCAAAAGTAGATTAAAGAAGAAAGGGTCAAAGCCTCAGATATCAAGAGGGATTAGGAGGGGACCCAGAGGAAGAGCGGGCCCCTGCACCACAGTTTTCCTGGGACTAGTTCACACACATGCATCTCTTGAGCAACCAGAGCCCTCCTCAAGGCCTCAAGGCCTCCCTGCAGGCGCCCTTAAGTCTCCTAAGCTCCCTTTTCTCCAAGTGCAGCTCTGGGCCAGGCCCTAAGAGTGTCATTCTCTCTCTTCATGGGCATGGGAGGCTAAGAGAAGAACAAAGAGGGTGAAGTATCCTTGAACCAGAGAATCAGAGCGTCCAAGGATGGGGGCCACTGAACAGTTTGGTTGCCCACCACTGAGAAGGGAGCAGGGGTACAATGTGTGCTTAGAGCTTCCAGCCAGCATTTGCCCATATGGCTTGATAAATATCAAAATAACCTTGCAGTCAGGCATAGGAATGAGTCTGAACCCACAGTTCTTTTAATAAATGGAGTCAGAAGAATGGTGATTGCCCATCGTCCTCTTCACCTATTTGAGCTCTGAATGAACCCAGTCCCACATGCAGTTCCATCCACAGGCTCACCAGTTGCTTAGTCTTTGGGCTAGTCCAGATGACAACTAACCATTGAATAAGTGACACAAACATGAAGGGCTCTGTACAGATTTCAGGTCACTCAGGGCTTATGTGCCAAATGCTTACAATACACAAACTTGTTAAACGTTCATATAGAGGGTTAGCTTAGAGTGGCAAATATTTTGTACTATAACACTATCTAAAACTCCAAGGTCCAAGTTGTGATAAGCCCCCTAGCTCAATACCACACACTTCGTTTGCCCTTTACAGTTCACACAGTACTTCCCTGTATACTATTCAGTCTTTCAGGACCATTATACTCTGGACAAACTTCTAGCAAAGTACCTATAAGACTTCATTGCACTTTAAATTCTTAAACGGTGGTCTTCTAAAATTAATACCTTGAGAGAGAGACCTTGCCTGCTTACTCACTGAAACCTTGGAGGCTACCACATTGCCTGACACATAGGTCAGTTAAAGTCAATAAAGTAATTTTGAACACCATTTGAGGGTCTTATTGTGTCCACAAGTTTGTTGTGGAACCAACCTGACTCCACTTCCCTGACTGTGGGCTGGAGTTAGTAACTTAATTTTAATGAACAGAACATAGGGGAAATGATCATGTGTAACTTCCAAGACTAGCTCATAAAAGACAGGGTGGTTTCCTGCTTGTTTTACTCTCCTGGACTAGGGGCAGCCAGCTGCACCATGCTGTGAGGACACTCAAGCAGCCCTGTGGAGACCTCCTGCTAATAGCCGTGGGGGTGGACCATGTGGGAAGCAGTCTCTGGTCCCAGTTCAACCTGCGAATGCCTGCTGCCCCATCCAGTGTCTCAGCTACAACCTCAAGAGACTTGAGGCCAGACTTACCCCACTAAGCCGTTCCCAAGGCCTGAACAAAGAGTTAATAAATGTTGTTTTAAGTTACTAAGCTTTGTGATAATTTGTTACACAAGCAGTAAATACCTAATCCACCTATGATAGTGAGTAATAGCAGTGAGAGGAATGAACAATAATTTATAATTGATAATTTATGAGAATCTTAAAAAATAATGAAAATAATATATCAGCTATCATTTATGGTTTACTATTTGAGATACTCCATATGCACTATTTTCTCATTTACTCTTCACAAGAATATTATGAAACAGATGGCAATATTTCCATTTTACCTGTGGGGAAATGCATACTTAGATTAAGTCACCTGGCTAAAGTTTAATAAGAGGCATAAAAAGAATTGAAATCCAGGTGTCCTTGTTTCCAAACCCCACGCTCTTAACCACTGTGCACACTGTCTCTCAATGCATGTTTACTGATTGAGCGATTGAGTGAAGGGGGCCAGCCAGGGCTACATTATGACATTTGGGAGCCCTGGTAAGCTTGCCTCTGTGGGCCCCTTCCTCTATTAAAAAATATTAAGAATTATATTTTATGACTATATTATTATAAAGACTAATATAATTGAGGCTGAGTCCATTATTATATATTCATTACTATTATATTCATTTATCCTCTGATTTAAAAAAAAAATTAAAATAAACCTTTTCCATGGGGCCCAAAAAGTATTGTGGCTCTCAATCATGTAATCATGTGCCTAAAGTGCCTAATGAATAAGCAGTTCCTGATATCAACTTGTGCACAGCAGCAAGCAAACCATTGAAAAGGAAAAAAAATGTAGAGGCAAATAATCTCCATTGACTTTGCTTTCTTCTTCCAGTAAAGTGCACGGGGCAGTCAGAAAAAATTACCCATGAAGGAGGTTGCTTCGGGGGAAGCAAAATACATTGTCCATGTGGTGCTCTATCTGTGAGGTTAAAAAAGGATGGCAGGGTAAAAATTAAGCCTGCCTCCTGAGAGAAGCTGGCAGTGCCCCTGTGCTCCACTGTGTTCAGCTCTCCCGAAAAGGAGAGTTTGCTTGCATGGTTTTAGACCCCACTCCAATGATCCACCCTGACTGGGGTATGACTGCCTCCTTCTTGTGAACAGTGGCACCAGGCTCAGCAGTTAAGCTCCCGGACACAGCATGGAGTCATGAAAAAATAATGGAAAGGATAGTGACTTTAGACCTGGAACCAGCTTCAGCTTCTCCCCCTGATGACTGTCTGGTCTTGGATGAATTAACTGTGTGGTGCCTTAGTTTCATCACCTGTAAAATGAGGGCTGTGTGGCAAAGAGTTAGTGCCCACTAAAAATCCACAGGCTCCCCTAGATGTCCCAGCCAGAGGCTGGCCAATTGACCGTGCACAGAAGTGACATGTGTCCATGTCAAGGTAAGACGTAACAGCTGCTATATCTCCAGGTGTCTCTTCCCTTTCCACAGCAACCCTGGAAGCCACTTGTTCAAGACAGTATTGCTGAAAGATGGCAAGTGGCCCAATTCATGAGTTATTACCTGGGGAGAGTTTGACAGGAGGGCTGCCAGACCCACAGCGAACCTTGAGTGAGAGTGAAATTAACTGTTTGCTGGGGTGTGGTATGTTACTGAGCATGTCTTAGCTGATCCTTACTAAAAGACACTGTAAGGTCAACGTGGCTGGATCATGAGGACTAACATGAGGATGAATGTAAAGCATCAAAATCAGTGTCTGGAAGAGGGAACTCACTCAGTAAACATTTGTTTCCACCTCTACTTTCAAAAATTGCATTTTGTCCCCAAAGAATTCATCACTGTCCAGAAACTGATGTGAATCCCTTCCTGATAATATTTAGTGTTGGGATCCAGCCACAGAATTCTGAAAAAAATGAAGGATGTACACAGCCTCATCACCAGAGGCCTTTAGACTTCAAAGCGTTTCTTTCACCCACAGAAAGCAGTACTGACACTTTGCAAGACCCAGATTTAACTCAGTTCATTTCCCCTAGCATGCTGCAAAAAGCAGGTGGGGGGAGGTAGACAGTATTCCTGGAATATTATTTTAAATTTCTGTTTGGGTATCTTGTGGTCAGAAAGCTTACAGATACTGATTCGGGACCATTACCCAGCATTTGTGTGAGGGCTTGTTGGAGCCTAAAGAAGCAGACACTCTCGAACATTATCTCATCTACAATCTTAGCATCGATTCAACTCTTAGCCAGGACTTAGGCCAATACTGAGTATCAGAGAAGAGAACTTGCAGCCCAAAGTGGGGAAGGGGTTTGGTCCACTGCTGGCCAGTGGCTTGTCAGTGCGGGCCCTGCCTACTAGAGCGCTTTCTCCCTACCTACGGCCACCCCAGACAGGCCAGGCTCCCAGCCAGTCATATCTTTGTTATCACCTGCCTGAATTGGGTCTGTCAAAAATGGACACTAACCTCAGGCATGGCGAGCCTTCCTGGCATGCATTTCACTGTGACTTCTCTGGCTGCCACCGGCTTGATGCAGCTATTGAAGGTCAGCCCTCCCTTGGCAAGCTGGAAGAAAAGCTGTGATCACTCCAGGTATTGCCAAGGGACCTTTCAAAGAATGTCATTAATTCTGAACAAAGCTCTCCCCTACCAACACTTTCCAATTATAGCCTTGATATTCCTATATTATGCTACAAAATTGCTCTGCCATTTAATGAAGGAAAAAAGCCTACTTTTTAAAATATGTATTTGAGCAGCCTAAGTATCTGAGGTAACTTCCCCAAACTAAAACAAAACTAACAAGAAACTTAACTTGTCTCTTTCTTCCTCCCTCCTCTTTCTCAGTCCATGTACAGCAACCCCTCTTTGCTTTCGAGGGTTTCAGTTACCCATGGGCCAGGGCGGTCTGGAAACAGATGACGCTCCTTCTAATGTATTATCAGAAAGTCAGCAGTAGCCTAACAGTATGTCACAATGCCTACATCACTGACCTCGCTTCGTCTCATCACGCAGACATTTGATCATCTCATGACACCCCAAGAAAGGGTAGGACAGCACAACAGGATACTCTGAGAGAGCACACATTCACGTAACATTGCAGCATATTATTATGGTTGTTCTATTCTATTAGTAGTTATTGTTAATCTCTTGCTGTAGCAATTTATAAATTAAACTCTATCATAGGTATGTATGTATAGGAAAAAACAGTAAATCTAGGATTTGGTTCTATCCCCTATTTCAGGCATCCACTGGGGAGTCTTGGAACAATGGCCACATGGATAAGGATAAGGGGGAACTACTGTATTGCATTTGGAAAGAAGCAGTAAGTCCTGTTTTACTCCGTGCCTCAAAAAAGGGAAAGTTGGGGTTTTTCAGGGTTAGGAGAGAGCTGACATCTAGTAGAGCCTGGTGGAAAGCTCTGATTCAAAATACAATCCAGAGAAGTGGTGCAAAATACAGGTTCCACCATCTCATTCATTCCCAGGGTTCAGTTCAGGTCCCCTGGAGACAGCCAGGCTAATACGCTCTGTCGCCCTCCTTACTCCAGCCTGCTCTGCCAGGAAGCCAGGCACTGTGCCAGCTGCTTCCCATTCTTATTCTCAGTTCCCTTCACCAAGAGCCCTCTGAAGCAGGAATTCACTTGTTTAGAGATGGGGAAGTGAGGCCCACAGAGATTAAGCAACTGCCCTAATGTCCCAAGTGGGGATTCGAACCAACAGTTCCATCTCGTTCAGTGTCACTGGAGGAGAGCACTAAGGCTGGGATAGTGAAAGGAATGCAATGCTTGGATTACTCTTGATCTTCACTTACTCTGGGCAGGAAGCTGGCTGATAAGAGTCAGGGCATTTAGCCTCTGGACTGCAGTGATGGACTAAGGTGTGGTGGGGAGAGAAAATGAGTAAATGGTCATCGGAATTTGTTCGTCTGTAGGATGAAATCCCAGCCCACTGCAAGTCCAGCCGGGACCAGGCAGTTGGCAGCAGCAGACTCATTCCAGGGGAAAAGCAGCAGAGGGGGCAGCTGATGGACGTGTCCTCACCACTACCAAGAAAGCTGCCCCTGAAAGCCCCCTTCAGCTGCGTCCTGCGCAGCGCCAGCTCCAGCTCCAGCCCTAGCGTGCAGGTGATGGAGCCTCTTCCCCCCACCACCACCCCCGCACACCACGCACGCAGGTGCCAACCCTTCGCGTGCACGCTCTTGCAGGTGGTGAGCACCCAACCTCCACCCAGCCCGTGCACGCTTCAGGAGAGTGAAGGGCAAACCAGATGTGCTCCAGATGCACGGGGGGAGAACCTATTGCATGCGCCCTAAGTGTGCAAGCTTCCGCCACTGACTCTTCCTTTCGTCAGGTTTCCCTCCCGCAGCGACCTCTTTCCCCAGGCCCGCAATCTGCGGCCTGCAGCTCACCTGCACGGTGGCGGGCACCGGCAGCATAGCCCTGCGGCGGCGGCTGAAACGAAACTTGGCTGCCTTGTAGATGGACAAACAGGACCACACCAAGCGGCAAGTAGAAGGCACCGCAGGTGGAGAAGACAGAGTAGGAGGGCTCCTAGCTCACCTGGCAGCGCTTGAGCCGAGCGTCGTAAGCCTCGCCCCAGCCGAAGAGCAGTGGCACCAGGGCGATGAGCGCAGAGAACGCCCAGGTGAGCACGATCATGAGTGCTGAGGAGCGGCGGCGGGTGCGCAGTGTGTACTGCAGGTGGCGCCTGATGGTCCAGTAGCGGTCCAGGGCGATGGCCGCCACGTTCCAGGTGCTGGCGGTGCAGCACAGCACGTCGAAGGAGATCCACACGTGGCACAATCTCCGGCCCAGGCGCCAACGTCTCCCGGCTGACAGCTCGCTCACCGGGCTCAGTGGCATCACCAGCGCTGCCATTGGCAAGTACAACACGGCCGTCAAGGCCACCAAATTGTGCAGCACGCGATGGAAAGCGCGGACGCGCAGGATGGTGACTAGAACCAGTAGGTTCCACAGGAAAGTGGCCACAATCAGCAGGACCAGTAGCGTCACCACCAGCACTGTGAAGGCGGAGAAGGGTCACCCTCCTCCGGGCAGGGCTGCGCCACCAGGGGTCGACCGGATGACCCCACCGGGGCTTGGGCTGCTGCCGCTGCAGACCTCAGGTCCCAGGGAAAGGGCGACGGCGGTGGTCGCCACCAAGAGGTTAGCTGCTTCCATGGCGTGTGGCGCGCGGGACCCCGGTCCAACAGCAGGGAACGTATGCGCTCCCCGGTGCTTGGTGGGCTCGGGGTGCGTGCGACGTGGAGGTGGCGCGGCGTGTCCCGGGAGGGCAGAGAGGGATCTAGGTCGCCCTACCCTAGTCCTTCTGCTTGGAATCCTCGTGGATCTCTTTTTCGGTGGAGGAAAAATCGACAGCGCGCCCCTCTGGAGTCAGCTCGGTTCTGCGTGCCGGTACCCCCAGCTTTCTTGGTCGTCCCCGCAGCAGCGGGCTGTCATAGAGCTGGGATCTGCGAGCGCCGGCGAAGCCGCGCGCGGGGAGAAGGTTCCCCGCCCCAAGGCAGCGGTGGGAGGCGGACCTGGAGCCCCTGTAACGGCCCGGGGCTTGCGGGCCGCCCCCCCGGGTCTCCGGGCGGGCCTCCGCCTGCGGACAGCCCCCGACCGCGCTGGGCTCCCGGGACCGAACACAGTCGCTTGGCGATTCTTTGGCCGCCCCCTTTGAAGATCCTTCGGCCCGCCTGGTGGCACGTTTGTCCTCTGCTGGGCAGAAGGGTTCTGGTTTCCTGATTCTCAATTCTTCGTCTCCTGAAATAGGAGCCTCGAGTACTGAAGCATAGAAAACGGGAGGCGAAGTTCCCACCCCCATCCGGTCGCTTCACCCGCAGCACTTCTCCCTGGCCGGACGTTCATGGTACCCTGCGAAACTGTTTATGGCTGCAAGAGGGGGCGATTACACCTTTTCGCCATCCCGAACCCTGCCCATCACATCCCTATCGCACTTCCCACGCAGCCCCCGTCCAGGGCTCACATTCCTAAGCACGTTACAGGTCCTCCAGGGCTTCCTTCCCAGGTTAAAGCAGCAGCTATGTTTTTCTGTTGACCCTTGAGCAAAAGGAAGAAACCAATTAGAAAGATGAAATTTCCCTAACTCTCCAACGGCCCCCCTTATCAGTCTCACACTCTTAAAAAATAGTTCAATTATAATTAAATCAGCCTAAAGCTTTAGTACTTCTGTTCCTGGTAGAATAGAGATGCAACACAGCCCAAACTGTCCCTTCCCTTGTCACCACAGCTGAAGGGCAGTCATCCTCTGCCCTCTTACACTCTAGGAACAGCTTCAGGCTAAGCAGGGTCCTGGGGCCACAGCGGCCCTGCACTCAGGGTCAGCTCTCCAGAGACCCTTTCTGGAGGGGCCTCCTAGGCTGCAGCAAGGGGAGGGGTGTCGTCCCTGGAGCAGTCCCACCCCAGGGGCAATCTCTGGGGATCTGGACCCTGCAGGGAGAACACTCCAAGAATGTCTTCCTCCTCCCCTCCTTTCGGTGGAGGAAAAATCGACAGCGCGCCCCTCTGGAGTCAGCTGGGTTCTGCGTGCAGGTCCCCCCAGCTTTCTTGGTCATCCCCGCGGCGGTAACAATTTTCTTTTTTTTTTTTTTTTGATACTGTACCTTTTACTTGAGAACCTCCAAGCAACTTAGGCTTTTGAGACTGTTTCCCCATTTTGAAAATGAGGATAAATATGCCTGTCAGGGTAGTACTTGCCTCTCCTCCCCTCCTTTCCCCTCCCCTCCCCTCCCCTCCCCTTCTCATTTATTCACTTTGTTTTCTGCATACTGTGTATGACAGTTCTTACTTATACACACTGACTTGGTCACACACTCAAGGGGCACGAAGCTCTATGCAAAGAAGTCAGAATAAAAATATTCACAGGCTTAAATGTCAAGTGGTTGATAGAAATCTCAGAAATGGTGGGCCGTTCAAGGATCACAGAGACTGGGAAGTTGTGGTCAGAGAAGACCTCACACTTACTGACCTGCAGGGAAGGAGTTTAGTTATGGAACAAGATGAGTGGTGGGTTGGACCTGGGAGGAGGGTGAATGGCTGGGACAAGCCTACAAGAGGCCATCGTGCAGGAGCAGGGTTTGAACTTGATCATGGAAAAAGCTGGATTCTGGATGGTTTTGGAAAAATTGACATGATGCAGACAATCCCTTTAGAAGAAAATGGTTACTAGCCTTTGATGTAGTTTCACAACAATTTTCTGCCCATTTTATTGAACAAACATTATAACAAGAGCAAAGAATATAAAAAATGTAATAGCCTTCATATGGTGCCACCCAGATGCATAGCTTGCTTGTATTCTCCTGTCTTTGCTCCTCTTTATGTGCATACCTAATATCAATTTGTTACTTTGCAGAACTCTCTGAACAATATATTATTGCTATATATTCTCTTCATGGTAACAATTTTCATATTTTTATTTTGATATTGTACCTTTTACTTGAGAAACTCCAAGCAACTTAGGCTTTTGAGACTGTATCCCCATTTTGAAAATGAGGATAAATATGCCTGTCAGGGTAGTACTATAAAACTGTGGTTGGCTAAAGCCCAGCACAGGGTTGAGTAAGTGTCCCATAAATGATGACTGTTGCTACTATTTTTAACTTCTAGTTTAACCTTCTATTCAGTTCTCTTGGGATCTTTTGATGTAGATCATGTTTTTACAGTTTTAATCTCTCAAATATTTGTAGCAAGAAAACACTTCCCCACGTTTTATTTCACTTGATTTTACGCCTCCTTCTAAGGCATCATTCCCATTTGCAGATGAAGACACAGGACAGACTTGTTGACTTGCCCTGTGATTGACAGCTGGGACTCTGCTCTTCTGATCCCCACTCCCCATTTGTCCATGATGCCAAGCTGCCCTCTTACACTTGCCTGCGGCTTCAGTCTTATTGAGAAGCACTGATTCAACTCTTCAATATCAATTGTTTTATATAAAAAGTCTGTTTGCCATTTTAGAAAACTATATTGTCTCAATTACAGGTCTTCGTGGGCTTCTCTACCCGATCTCAGACCACTCTCCCCTGGTCACTGCACTCCACCACCTTGGCCCCCTGTGTCCTCGCACATATTACAAGTACATTCCATCTTTGGAGCTTAGGTGCTGTTCCCTCAGATGCACATGGCTCATTCATACTTCATTCAAGTCTCAGCCCCAGGGTCACCACCTTACATCTCCCCTGACATCAATCTAAGTGGCCTCTATCCCACTATGCTGCTTTGTCTTCACAGCACTTCACAGAAGTGACATCCTATCATTTGTTTAACTCCTTGTTATACCATCCCCACTAAAATATAAGCTCTTCTTAGGCAGGAAATGTATTTTCTGCTGTATCTGTAACATCTAGTCCTGTGCCAGGCACATGGAATGTGACTCAATACATTTGAGTGGGTATATTGAATGAATAAATGAGGCATTGTTGGGAGAAGTGATCCATGGGCCCTGGGTACCTGCATGTTCATATAGGTCATGCCAAGGACCCAAGGCCTGACTGCTCATTACCCAGGCCATTTTTCAGAGTTGTGTTTGCAGCAAGTGACCTTAAAAGATGAAATCACCTCTCCCCCTGGCAAAAGGCAAGCTTGACAAGTTCAGAAGTGTTAAGTCCCCAGACCAGTGTGATTCTGCTGTGACATAGCTCACTCCCCAAGCAAGCAAGCGTCTGTCCATCACAGGCCCTTTCTGAAACCCCTATGGGCTTGGGAAGCATGGGGAGCCAGCACAAATGAAACACGGAGCCCTGGTTACAGCTTTTGCCCAGAGGAATTAAGTGCTTTGCCACTAACCCAGGAGTCTCATGTCTTCTGAGGGCATCTGTGAAATTCTTACGGGGTAGTCTGTCGGCTTGCTCAGGATGTAAAATCCCAGCTCTGTACAGTGCTTGACAGGCATTTGGTTGCTGGCTTTAAATTACAACTGGAAGAACTCTTCTGCCCTTTTGGGATTATTTTCTTGATACATTTTCTCCCAAATTTAATAACTGAGTTAGAATGTAGGAACAGTGTGATTCGTTTTTTTTACATATTTCCAAACTGTACCTCTGAGAAATTTAATGGATTCACTATTCTCTTGGCCTTAGCTTTGGGGAAACAAGAGAGGGACTGACAACCTTGCCAAATTAAATTTTTATCATTAGAAAAAAAGTTTAATTGGTATAGAATGATGTATTTTAATTGTTTTAGCTTGCATTTCTTCAATGGCTAAAAGCCCTGCATTTACCCACATAGTGATTTATTATCTCTTTATCCTTACGTAGAAGCTGCCCTCCCTGTTTAACTACTTTATGCGGGAATCTGGGTACTGACCTTATGAATACTGATCAATTTCAGTGTAATTAGCAAGCAGATTTTCCTCAGTGTTGTTGCTGGGTACCTTTTTCTCTGTCATTCCTCTCCACGTTTATTCTATTTGGTTAGATACATTTCTCTTTTATATAGTAGAACACATTGATTTTGTTTCCATCAGTGTCCTTAATTTACTCCAGAATCATAAACTACTTTCTTGCATTATTAACCATTGTGAATCAATTTAGATAGTGAACTGATTGCTCCAGAGTCCCTGCTGTGTGGACAGAGCCAGAGATGGGGAGGCAGCAATTGTCTTCTCATCCCCAAGCTGTGTGTAATCCCACCCTGTGGGGCCCAGCCCTGGTTACTGAGGGCAAGACAAGTAGAGTGGCAGGTGAGCTTGTCCTAATCCTAGAGAACCTCTCATATCCCCAAGAACATCATCTGCCAATGACAGGGATGCAGCAGGATGTGCCCAAGCTGGTTAGAAGTATTAACAAAGGCTTCTGGTCTTGCTAGGGGAGAGAAATCGTCTCCAGCGAGGAGGAGCAGAGAAGGCCTCTTGAGGGGTCAGGTATTGACCTGGACATTAAAGGTGGAAGATTTTCACTGATAGAGGTGGGGGAAGAAGAGGAGGGAGGTGGACTCGGAGGAAGAGGGAGGGCAAAGGCCACAGAATAAAGACACCAGCAGAGAATGATTAGGAAATGCCCACGGTTGCTAAATGACCATGCTAAATGACCATTCATTCACTTGCCGTTTGTTAGGTTTTGCTTTTAAAGATAAAGTAGGTAGACCATTTCCATGGTCTTTAGTCAACTGATGCTTCTATTTCTCTTACTTACATATGGCTCCCATGATTATCTCTTTTG